ACTTGCATCACGATTCCAAGGTTACCAATTTTAAGCTGCCTATAAATAGCAAGTTGCAGTGGAAAACAATCGCTTGGCTTCAGAGCTGTCCTGTCACGTGTAACACCCCTGCTCCTGTCTCTGTAGCTGTGTTTGCAAACCTGGCTATGAGGGAGATGGCTTCAGCTGCAGCAGGGTGGATCCTTGTGCTGCTCTAAACCCTGGTGGCTGCAGTGTCAATGTAAGTACTTTTCCCCCAGAAAAGCAGCCAAAGGGGAAGGTTTGTCCGGAAATTTTGGCGGAAGAGCCGCAGTTTTCCCCGGAGCTTGAGGCTCTTTGCCCAGATGTCACCACAGCTCGGACGAGCCTTGTGGTACAGCCAGCTGTCCCCAAAGTGTCCTGAAGGGCTGTCTCTGCACCTCCCCAGGCTGAGTGTGTCCATTSGGGCCCGGGGGAGCCCAGGTGTGTTTGCCAGGCAGGATGGACGGGCGATGGAAGGGACTGCTGGCCCATCGACAACTGCCAGCTGCCCGCCGCCACCGGGTGCCACCGCAATGCCACCTGCGTGTACATCGGGCCAGGCCAGGTATGTCCCTRCAGTGTCACCTTCACAGCAAGTCCCCAACCATTGTTTCCTGCCCTGTTTCTTCCCCAAAGCTCCTCTCCCCCACAGCCACAATGACATTTCCCCATGGTGCTCCTTAAASCCCGCTCTCCCTCCTTTCCACGTGGCACCAAACACGTTCTTGGTGAGTGCATCAGGAGRTGTCAGCTTTAAAAACCTCCTGGAGATGTTAATCAGTGTCATTCCAGAAGTCAGCACTGGACTGCAGAAACACAGAGAAAATGATCCCCCACGTCTGCAATATGCACGTTGTTTTAATCATTTTAATGAATTGCTGTGTTTTATTGGAACGACAGAATGAATGTAAGTGCAAGGATGGATTCCARGGGGATGGAATTGAATGCACACCCATAAACTCGTGCCTGGAACAAAATGGAAAATGCCATCATCTGGTGAGTAATTAATCACTCCCTGAACAAAGTGTTCAGATACATATCACACCTCGCCTCCTGCGCACGACAAGGAATTTATTTGCCWTTTCAAGCCTGCCATTTCTGGTTGAGAAAGCACTTCCCAAGMAGTTCTACAAGCACCAGAAACTGTGTGAACCACATGCAGGACAGACTGCAAGGGCTGCTCCCAAATCTGCCTGCACAGAAGGATTATCTCAAACCTGGAATAAATAAATACTGTTYCTCTACCAGCAATTACAAATCCTGTTGGGATATTTGCCCAAGTCAGGCTTTATCAGCAGCTCAAGTGGGGCACAGGGACAGGGCTAAAGGGAGGAGCACTGGGGAGCAGAGGATGGATTTGSCAGAGCTGAGTGAAAGAACAGGGCCCAGATTGTGTAGGAAAGCAAGAAAAGGTGGAGGAAAGGTTTAAATCCCTACAGGTTTAGTGCATGGTGGGTGGGTGAGGAAGTTAGTGTCCTGTAGGGATGTGAGAACACCCATGGAAGATGGCACAGAGATCCTTTGTGAGTTCATTCTTGTGTATAAATGGATTGTAGCAAAAGGTTTTACAGGCCATCCTGTGGYCCCTTGAGCATCTGACAAATCCTTTCTCTTTCTGCTTCAAAGGCAACTTGTGAGTTTGAGCCTGCTGGTGGCTGGGAGTGCGTGTGCCCCCCGGGATATGAAGGGGACGGCAGGACCTGCTATGGGAACGCTGCAGATGTGAGTGAGGGGATCACCCTGTCAGAGCACTATATATATATATATATATATATAGAGAGAGAGAGAGAGAGAGAGAGAGAGAAATTACTTTCTCCATATTATAATATATACAGTATTGTATATTATATATAAATTCAATATATTAATGATTCATATTATAGATTATAATTATATATACAATTATTTTATCCATATTATAATATATACTATTATATAGTATACATATTTTAATATTATAATATTCATATCATATATAAAAATTATATATAATTATTCTATCCATATTATGATAAATATATTGTAGTATTCAGTATTGTATATTATATATAAATTCAATATATTAATTATTCATATTATATATTATAATTATATATACAATTATTTAATCAATTCTATAATATATAATATATTATATAATATATATTAATATTATATTATTAATATCAAATACATAATAGTTATATGTATAATTATTTTATCCATATTATAATATATATACTATATGATCTATTATTTTTATATTCTATATGTTATTTATATTCTATATTATATTTAGAATTATTTACATATTAAAATTTTAATATATAACTTATAGTGATAATTATAATTACAGAATATATTATTGAATTTATATTACATATAATATTATTTATATAATATACATAACATATATATATAGTTGTTACTATAGTTGTTGCCTTTATAAACAGTCAGAAAAACACAATGCCCACCAGTGCTGCCTGCAGAGAGCAGTTCCAGTGGGAGACACAGCCTGAAACATAAATGTTTTYAAAAACATGGCTTGGAAAGGGGCCTAAGGGAGCAGAGAAAGTTTCTGGCTTAAAAAAAAAATTGAAAATTTGAAATTTAAAACAAATTGAAAAGATCTTCAGGAGTGCTGAGCACTCATCTCTCAGCTGGGAGTACCAGGCACCCAGCTCTTCTGAAGTTCTGCCCCGCAGCCTCTCTCGGTGGAAATGATCAGTTTATCATGTTGAAACAAACTGTGCTGACCCACAGGCAGAAAAAAAACAGAGCTAGTAAATTGGTGGAATAAATATGCATTTAACAGCAGAGGAAAAATGGAAATAGCCTGTGTGTCAGCCCCTGGCAATGATCCTACAGGGCTCTCTGCCACCCCTCCAAGTGTCATCCATCCTGCTCTGAGTGCTGGGGCAGAATAAAGCCTGGGGGATGTGTAAGATGCTGCAGATACCCGTCAAAACAACACACATTTCAATCCATTTTGCACGGAGCTGAGGAAAGAATTAGATTTAAAATCACAGAAATTAATGCTCAGCCTGGGGCCAGTACACAACRTGTGCCAAGGTCAGGCACACACCAAAGCAATCCATGAATTTCAGGAGTTGGTAACTCACCATTCCCATTACCAGGAAATGTCAGTGTTAGAAAAACAGGAACATCCTCCTTTTTCACAGAAAAACATGGAATGTCCTTCCTTTTCACAGAAAAACATGGATGTCCTCCTTTTTCACAGAAAAACATGAACGCCCTCCCTTTTCACACACACTGGAAATCTCCTCCTCATGTCACATCATCCAGGCCAGACACAGTGGGTCACACCACAGCCAAAAATTTTAATTACAGCTCACAGCCTCACTGACCTCTCTTCTTTCTGATCAGGAGCTGTCCACTCTGTCAGAAGCAGCTGCATTTAACCAGTGGGTTAAGGTAAGCACGTTTCGTGCGTAATTTTTTATTGTGTTCAAGTTAGAAGAAATGAATGAGCCTTGYAGGGTTTAGAAATGGGAACCTCACAGCAATTTTCCCATCAGAGGGCAGAAGCTGAGAGGCCTCAGGTTGCTCAGTCCTGCCCAGCCTGACCCTGGGTGTCCCAGGGATGGGGCATCCACCACCCCTCTGGGCAACTTCTGCCAGAATTTCATTGCAAAAGAGCTTCTTCCTTATATCTACTCTAAATCCACACTTTTCCAGTTCAGAACCATTACCCCTCATTCTTTTGCAAAAGGTCCTGCTAAAAAAACCTGCCCCATTTTTCTTATTAGCTCCCTTTAAGTGCTGAAAGGCCACAAAAKRTTTCCCTGGAGTCTCCTCCAGGCTGAACAACCTCAATGAGGAAAGAGATGAACTTGTTTGGCTCCAGATTACGGAAGAAACACCAAATTAGCTTTTAAACCCCAAAATTCTGGATACGCTGGGTCACAACCTACTTTCTGTTTTCACATGCCATCATTWATCACTGGAGCAGCAGAAACATCAGAGGTCCTACCCCACTTTGAGAATAAACATCAAAACCAGTTTCTCCTACAAAGAGCTTAAAACCTAAATATAAGAAGTGTGTAGCAAATACAGAGCAAACCAAAAAGAGCAGTGAGGTGTAAATGAGCAGCAGCAGAAGCAGAAGTCACAGCACATTGGWTGCTTTCAGGCTTTTCAAAGTCAGATTTTAGGTTTTAAGATCATTAAATCACATAAGGAACTACTCAGGGAACTTCTTAAGAGAGCTCAGTGTGGTTGGTTCCACTCAGTTTTCTGCCTAGCCCTGAGTTCAGACCTCAGCATTGGACACTCTACAGAGAAATTAAAGAATTTAAAGAAATGGGCACAGCAGGAAATGCTGTTCACCTGCTAATGAGCTCTTTAGATAACGAGGGAACAAATCAGAGGGAAGATTCTGTGGATTCTGCTGAAACAGGGACGTGGAAATTTCTTCTACACGGCAGAGAAATGCTGTCACTTAAAATAAACATTGGTAACTACAAACATGAGCAAAATAGGGAGTAGGGAGACATTACCCATCTGTGTTTAAAAACTCATCTGTGGGTTTTTAACTTTGCACTTGAGCAGGAATRTGATGTTTACCCCTTTTCATAACTACATATTTTTCTTGCTGGTCAAGAAGGATGAGATGGGGAAGTTTGTTGCTCTTTCTACATTTAAATATTTGGAAGGTGATAGGGATGATGGCCAGAAGGAAAGATGATATTAACAGAGACAAAATTCCCAGCTATTTAAGGGAGCTGATTCCCTTCTTGACTTAAAACCCAAAATGGGTAATGAAGGACTATCCAAAACCAGGCAGCATTCCAGCTGCAAAAASGTAGAACCCTTTTCAAGTTTTGCAGCATCAAAACAGGCAAATTGTGGAGCCTGTGAAAAGTTTGGAGAACCCCATCTTCAGAAAGATCACATTTAGCTTTCTATTTTTTACTTAAAAAAAAAAAAAAAGAAAAAAAAGCCACACAACTGGAAAAATCCTCTCCTCCTCTTTCCATCCTTAAGGCAGATAAAAACATGGAAGATGAATTAATTCATGCATGCTACAGATCTTTCAATCCCCATCTGAAATTAGAGTTGTCAGCAGCGAGTTTTGCTGCAGTGCTGGTGGGGCACAGATGACTCTTGGACATCTTGAAAAAAATCTCAGCCATGTCAAAAAGTCCCCTTCTAAATAGGAACRTTGTGCCATGGGAGTTTCTTATTTAATTAATGAATAAAATAAATAAATAATGGAATTATTTCATCATTTCTATCTATTAAACAGCATGGAGTGCTCTGTGAGAGCAAGTTCCTTGAATTTATCACTAACCACAAGCATTTTATCACCTAATTTTTTAACATTTGAGTGCATAAATATAGAACCTATGACCAAGGCTAACTTTGTGGGAGTCAAGTTACATGTGCCATAATAAAAAACAAYTCTGAGCATTATTTCTGCCCTTTAAATGCTGGCAATGTATTCTGTAAAAACCAGAAACTCATTTGCCATTTTTGTGTAGCTCTAACTACCATTGTTCGAGTCATTGCTCAGCAAAATAGCTTTTCCTCTCCAGGCTGGTCACAAAGCACGTCACCTTGCTTCAAATGTCACCAGCTGCTATTTATAGAGCASCCTCAGAATGAATTATTTTACCCTCAGAATGAATTATTTTACCCTCAGAATGARTTATTTTACCCTCTTTGCTTTCACACAGGAGGCCAAGATAAACTCGGTGCTGTCCACTGCCTCAAACCTGACTGTCCTCGTGCCTTCTCTGCAAGCAGTTGAGGACATGGATGAGGATGAGAGAGCCTTTTGGATGTCAGAAAGTAACATTCCAACTCTCCTGAAGTACGTTAAGTGTTTGGTTTTATTGTCTGTTTTTCTTATTTTTATTTAAGTGCTTTTTATGCTAAGCAAGCCTTTGGTTTGAAGCCACTGGAGCAAGACAGGCATTTTGATTTTAAAGAAAGGACATAGGATCCCCCTTCTAGTTCCAGTGGTATCAAYTGAGCAGGATTTGCTCAATTTGCAGAATTGCAACAAGTCCACTGGGAACAAAGGCATTATTTGGATTATATCAGAATTATATTTAAAGGCCAAACTAGGATCAGAATGTGGCTGARAAAGGTGTTGCGGAAGCAATTCCTGTTTAAAACCACAGTTTAAACATATTTATCTAAAATAAGAGGAAAAAAAAATATGGGGAAAAATAGAAAACATTCAAATCTATTTACTTTCCTTTAGGTATCACGTACTGACAGGAGCTTACAGCTTTGCTGATCTCCAGAATTTATCATCCTCTGACGTGCTGCCAACATCGCTRCAGAGCAAATTCCTACATTTGTCTAAAGAAAACGGGGTGAGATGACCTGCAAGCCACTGTGGTATCACACACCAAAMCCTCACCAGTACTGCCACTGCCTTCCAAGTATTACAAAACCACACAGACATTATGGACCTGTATTTTAAAAGATCCCTCACCATAAAATTAAAATAAATTAAAATTGGGCCCTCTGGGAGAAGGATTAGCTTGTTTTTCTCTGCCACTTTACATCACTGAAATTATTTATAAGGTTATTTATTATAAATTTACTRATTTCCAATGTCCCAGTAGCTGCTGCAAACACTGGACACTCCAAGCAGAAGGGCAGTCCCTGCCTGGAGCAGCCTGTGTGAGCTAAATTAAGAAAAAGAGCATAAAGAAAACCAAATTCCTTAGTTTAGGGGACTGGGAAAGTGGGAGGAAGCAGTGATAACACACATATGGAATTTGATATCCCTAAGCCACCTGAAGGTATTTTTAATGGTAAATAACCACTATTTAAATAAATAAATAACCTACAGCCCTGCCCCCTCAGCCTTTTTATTAGGTCAATGCCATTTTCTGAGGAGGGTTTCCTGGGAACACACAAGTCACATTTAAGCACCTCATTAAGGGAGCAGGGAGCTTCCCCCACCCCATCCCCCAAAGGTAAAACCATGAACAGGGTCCTTCCAAGCTGCCCAGAGTGGGAGGGTGGGAATCASCTCAGAGTTCAGCCTGCTCTGGGAACCCCAAGAAACCCCTCCAGGGCAAGCAAGGCCAGGCTTTTGCCAGCCCCATCCCCTGTAAGTGATTCCCTGAGGATTCCCAACCTCTGCAGCACCCTGGGCCAGCATTTGGGAAGGTGTGGAAACCCACAGAGGGAGCTGCTGGGGAAACACAACCCCAGGATGCCAAAACAAACCCTCTCTGCTCTCCCCCCTGCAGAACCTGACCCTCGAGGGCGCCCACTTTGTGACCAGCGACATCGCCTCCACCAACGGGGTCATCCACGTTATTGATAAGGTGTGCAATCACATATTGATCAGGATTTGCTGCCCTGCGCCACAAAACTATCGACCACCTTTGGRAAAAGCGTTTTGCCCAGAGCAGCACTCTGTCCTGCAGCTGATCCCTGCAGGAGATGTGGGATATTTGCCTTTTTCCAGGTGCTGACCCCGCTGCGCAGCGCTGTCCTACCGAGGCTGCTGGAGCGCCTGGAGCAAATGCCCGACTACTCCATCTTCAGGGGTTACATTATTGTAAGTAACAATGATAATTTCACATCATTTACACGAGGTTTTCAGAGCAGAATAATGCTTTGTTTGCATTTTGGACTATCATCAGACTGTCAGTGATCGTTTTGATTTTTTTTTTTTATGTTTTTCACAACAGCAATACAACCTGGCAGATGAAATAGAAGCAGCAAACACATACACAGTCTTTGCCCCAAGCAATGATGCCATAGAAAATTACCTAAGGGAGAAGAAATCTGCTTCTCTGGTATGTATTATCCACAAGGCTTGTCTTGACAGYTCAATATTTCATCTCTTTTCAAGTGGATGGGTTACAAGGGCACAGAAACAGGATGAGATTTGTTTTCCAGAAATCCAGTAAGTTTGGTTTTATCTGTAACACCATTTTTTCCCCATTTTTTCATGTTTTTCCCCATTTTCTCCCACTTTTTCTGGGTTTTTTCCTTTTTTTCTTGGTTTTTGGGACCAAAATTCCGATAACGTTTTCTCACTATTTTCCCCATATTTTCCCCATATTTTCCCCATATTTTCCCCATATTTTCCCCATATTTTCCCCATTTCCCCCTGTATTTTTCCCATTTTTTCACATATTTTCCCTGTTTTTTCCCCATTTTTTCCAGTTTTTCCATCTTTTTTTGCCCAGAATTCCAGGATTTTCCCCCAGCAATCACTTGTGGTGCACAGAGGAGGTGCACGTGGCTCCCGTCGCAATTCCCAATTTCTCCACCTGCTCCAGATTCACACCTTAATGGGTGTAAATCTCAGTCTTTATTGGTGAAAGATGTCCTGAATGATTATATAGATAGATATAAAAACATAAATATATATATAAATCACTCCAAACATTCACTCAACAGTTTATTCACCTCCAGGTTCTTCAGGGTTTTCCAAAGGAATAAGGAATGGGTATGAAAATATTGTAAAAGCYCTCATGGGTATGCAACTCTTGATGTCAAATGAACCCATAAAGTTCAGAGCCCTAAAAAATCCTAAAAAATCTAACGTTTCATTGAATCTATCAGCCAGGATCTATGCACATAAACAGATACTACAGGCTCAAGCAAACCTTGAKCCTCCCATTTCAGTAGCCTTTCCCCCTCCACTGTTGATAAAATTTCATAATTACAGGAATTCAGGCCCCTCCACAGGAGGAAATATGGAATAACCTGCCTGGTGGAGAGGCTTCTCTTTAAATWCAGGCAATCTATGTTTGGCTTACACCCCTTGGAGTTTTCATGCCTTGTTTCATAACTCTGAAATAATTTKGTGTTTGCAGGATGAAGGTCAAATCCGCTACCACGTGGTGCTGGGCGAGAAGCTGCTCAAGAATGACCTGCACAATGGCATGCACAGGGAGACCCTGCTGGGCTTCTCCTACCAGATTGGCTTCTTCCAACACAACAGCCAGGTACTGCTGTCTGCTCTAACTGGAGGAAGCAGGTTTCCTGGTTTTCACAAATCCAGCTTGGACTTTAAACCACTGTGGAGTCAAAARGAGCTGTGCATCCATCGTTAGCTTGTGAGACTCAGCAGCACCAAAGTTGTCACTCAAATGCAAGGCCTGTCGCATTCAAAGTCAGCCTTGAAGGTGTCTTTGATTGAATTTGATTTAATTAGTGATGTTCACATTCAGCATTGAATTTTAGGCATCTGTSTCTGGCAGCTACGAGCCTGCATTCCAAAACAGTCATTAATCTGACTCCAAGAGCTGATAGAAACTCGCCCTCAATTATAAATCATTAATTCTGTGTTTTCTAAAGTTTTCTGTGGATTCACTACACTTTCAACCCTAAGAGCTCAAAGCAATGGGCAGCAAATAGGAATTGCCTTTCAGTGCCACTCATGGAAAAATCAGACAMAGCAGGGTCAGGATGGGAGCTTGGTCCTCCTCCTCTGTGCCAGAGCTCCCTCTGAGCACAGGCAGACAGTTTCTCACTCTCATCTTCTTCATCCCTGCTCTCTGCTCTGCCCAAGTGAGTCTACCTGCAGTGGGGCTGTTCCTGGTGAGAGCACCATGGCAGCTTTGAGATGATGAAAGAGAAGAAAGAGCAGCTGCTGGGAGGGTTTCCTTGAAGCCACTCACCCTCCAGACAYACCAAACTCACCTTTTGGCACGTCTTAGGTTTCTCCTTCATGGCCTTTACACCCYCTGCTGGAAAAAGCTCCTCTGCCAAATCCTGTAGCCAAGAAATTTGAAGAGGCTGTGAGGTGCAGTGAAGCTGAAATAGGAGCAAKGGCCTGATATCAACTCCTTTGTGGGTTTTCCTTAAGGGATCCCAGTGCATTTCTCCCTTTCTTCCACCTCCCAATGCTGAAGTTTCTACAGAGCCATGGAGCACCTCTGCTGCTCTTGATGCCTTAGGATTTCAGCTTCTCTATTTCCATGCATCTGTAATCCTGTAATTCTTCAGTGAATAACTCCAGACTCCACAGACAGTGCTGAGCTCCTGCTCTCCCATTTTCACACAAAACAATTCCTCTCCAGCCCCAAACTCAGGGACACCTCCCTGAGCCAGGCCCCAAGAGATGGAAACAACAGAGAATTGGGGGAGCCAAGTTGGAGTTTTTGACTGCATTGGCTGCAGCTGCAATTGGAGGATTCAGCAAATCCCGATGTGCAAATGGACAAAAGTGAGAAAGGGTGAAAAACCTGTGAGCCATTGTCCATTGTGGGTGCAGCCCCTGGGACTGCCCTGAATGCACCTGAAGGCCCTGCAATAAATAAATAAGCTGGTTTTCATCCTCTGAGTTTTGCCTGGCCTCTGTTTTAGGTAGCCAGATTCAGGCATCACTCCCTAAGTGATTTCATTTCTCTTGCAGCTCTACGTGAACGATGCTCCCCTGAGCTATGCCAACRTTGCAACGGACAAAGGAATTATCCATGGGCTGGGAAAGGTCCTGGAAATCCAGAGGAACAGATGTGACATCAATAACACCGTGATCATTGTAAGTACTCCTGTCCATACAGATGCTTAAAGACCCATCAGAGAGACCTACAGCTTGGATATATAGGATAGGAATGCACACATTTGCCACAAAGAACATTCCTGGCAGAGTTTTTGCATCCCTTCAGACAGCTTTAGTCCTGAAATCAGTGTTCTGACAGCCTGGACAAAATATAATCAGGGTAGTTCAGGAATTAAAAATTCCTGTGCTCTAATTTTCAGATAATATCAGTAATGCACTATTCTAATACATCTTCGTAGCCAGATCACTTGCTYATAAAGGGGGAAGCATCAACTTACAAGAGAAAATAAAAATACCCAAGTGATCTTTCCTCCTTCTTCCCCTTGGGAGAAGGATTCCCATAGGATATCCCCCAGAGCTGCTCATAGGAATGAATTTCCTTCCTTGCTGAGCAGGACAGCTTCCCTCACCATCTGTACCAAAGGGGTTATCCTGACAGTGCACCTCGAGGATGAGATTGAGAAATACAGCTGGAAATCTTGCTTTTTACATGAAACAACCTGCCTGCAGCTCTGTGCAGTCTGTTAACTGCCTCCCATTYGTGTCCCTTCAGGAAAAGTGCAGAATTTGTTCACAGCCATCAAGYTGTCCCCCAGGAACAAAAGAAATTGTAAGTATTTTTTCATTAACGCTAGGCTGGGATTTTTTTAATATCAAAACTGACTATAGATGCATTCAATCCTGTTTTTAATATAATTTACTCAGTTTCAACAAAACTGTAATATTTACTTCAGCCTGCTATGTACATTGCTGATAGTAAATAGATTTAATCCGTCCTCAGGGGTTTTTTTTTTTTTAAATCTACCTGGAATCAAGGTAGCAGAAGGGCAGTTTAAAGATAGTTTTATCTTTAAAGACCAGTTTCTCATGTGCATGGGAACAACTGAAGGCTCCTCAAACTGCAAAGTTTACCTCTACCATGCAAAATTGAGGGACTTAAACATGGTCTGGACTAGGCCTGCTCCAGGAGGAATTACAAAAAAACTTCTCTGAGCTCCTCGAAAAATTTGGGCAGGGCAAACTCAATCTTTCCCTGCAATGTGCTGTAAATTAAGGTCACAAGGAGATTATGGAGACTTTGGATGGCCCARCACATCAGAACTGCAGATATTTAGGGTTTCTTGGTATCTAACTGATCYGTGGAAGCCCCTCCATTGGGATTACATGAGCACATTTTCCTTTACTATTTGTTATTTTTTWAATTAATTATAACAGCAATGGTATTCCAAAGCAGATCAAGCCCCACCCACCTCATAAAAGTACTTGATTGGCAAAAACAAATTTCAGTCTTTGTGTGTAAAMCCCATCTCATTAACATTTCCTTTGCAATGAACAGCTGGATGGATGCTTGTCTCAATCTCCTCACAATGTGCAGCAAAATCAAAAGTTTTCTTCTGCCAGCAATCTCCCCCAATTTTTTGTTTAAATCTGGTTGACAATGTTTCAACAGCTGTGYTTGCAGAACTTCAGAGAAGAATTAAAAAGATCAGAAAATGTGAAAAATGAAAAAAAAAGTTTGTAAAACTTCTGAGCAAAGGCAGTGTTAGATATCTTTAAAACACCACAAAACACTGAGTTAAACTGATCATGTCTTCACTAGAAATTATTTAGCTAACACATTTTTATTTCTGGAAAAATTTCCTTCATTTTCAGTGTGAACGTGTGAGTCAGTGCACCATGCACATCAAGTTAATGTCCCATTTTTTATAAAGATTTGAAAGCAGCTGATCAWTATCATTCAGAAGTGACTTTTTCTCCAATGTTTGCTCAGCCAGGGGAGAAGAAATACTGTGTGCTCACGGAAAACCACATGAGGCAGTACACCATCCAGATCGGGTGCCAGCCCAAATGTGCCAAAACCATCATTGTGAGTACAGGGGTGAAAACCAAGAATCCCCCATGCCTGGAATTCATCCTCCTCGTAATTCCCTCCATACACAGCGTGTCCAGGCAGCTCCTGACTGATTTATGGCTTTATTATGGCTTTATTTATGGCATAAATCCTGACTGATTTATGGAGAGTGGGAGGAGAAAGGCTGATGGCAGCTGCAGCACAGGAAGGAGCACAGTTTTGGGAAGGGTGACCCTGTGTCTGTCCCTAGCAATCCTGTTAGATGCTGAAGGCACCTGGGTCCCACCCCAAGGACAGCAGAGGAGTGTGGGCTCAGAACAGCAGAGCTGATGTGCTGCTGAACATCACAGAACCATAGATTGGTGTGGGTTGGAAGGGAGCTCAAAGATCACCTCGTTCCAACCCCCTGCCATGTGCAGGAACATTTACCCAATGAGCAGGTTGATCCAAGCCCCCCAAAACCTTGAACATCCAGGCGTGAGGTCCCCCATAACTTCTCTGGCAAACCTCCTACAGTGCCTCAGTCAAGAATTTCTTCCCAATATCCCATATAATCCTTCCATTTGAAGCCATCCCYCTTCTCCTATCACTACCAGCCCSTGTAAAWACYGTGGGAAGCCAGCAGGAGACTGCAGCATCCTCTCGCCATGGCCTTGGATGTTATAGATAAGGAGCTTTTGTGTGTGACAYTTTACAGCGAGAAATAGAGATTTGTACCCATTAGRCAAAGGTAAARGAGCTCAGCTGCTGTAAAAGGAGACGTTCAGGTACAGCTGAGGAGCATTTGTGAGAGCTCAGAGCTCTCCAGATGGGATGGAGTGTCCAAAGGAGATGCTCAGCTGCCAGCAGGATTGTGGAGGAGCCATGGAAGATTCTGGAGAGAGAGTACAGAGGGCTGTGCTGATGCCTTAGGATTTTCAGTTTCTATATTTTCATGTGTCTGTATTCTTATACTTCTCTAGTACAGCACTAAAAACTACTGTTCTCCCATCTTTAAACAAAACAAKCCCTCTCTAAACCTACATCCAAAGACACCTCGCTACCTCAGAGCCCCAAAACATGTAAACAACAGCGAATTAGAAAAAAAACAAGTTTAGAATARTTAACATCATCACCTATAAAAATCATTAAATAATTAAAACCCAATATGTTAMTAAAACAAAACTTATAAAAAGTAAAGATCTTGTACCCAAAATCCTCAAAAAAAAGCTTTTGCCTGCCCTAATGTACCAATAAGCCTGTTAAGCCTGTATTAAAGTTATCTATTCTCATTCTCTTAACTTTGTCTAGCCTCTATTTCAAATTAGCCTAATTAATCAGTGCTGCGAGCTCCTAAAGGGCTGACAATTGGCACTGCTGAGTTTGACCCTGCTTTCCTGCCTCCCCAGAGCAGGCAGTGCTGCGCGGGTTTCTTCRGCCAGCAGTGCCAGCCGTGCCCGGGAAAGGCTGGGAATGCCTGTTTTGGSAACGGGATCTGCCTGGATGGCATCAATGGCACGGGCAGCTGCCAGTGCCACCAGGGCTTCCAGGGCACCGCCTGCGAGAGCTGCAGTGAGGGCAGATATGGACCYGGCTGTGACCAAGGTACTGAGCACCCCCAAAACACCCCGGCCTCTGCTTCTTCTTCCCCTTGCATCTGCCAGCCCTATCCATGCTGGCTTCTGGGAAGGCACAGTGCTTARAAAGCATCTTKAGCCCMTTTTCTRTGCCCATTTTGGGGTTTTCTCTCTGATCCCWTGGCTGGGTCAGTGCCTCCTGCTCTGGCACATTACAGATTTGGAACATCACCCAGCAAGAAMAATCCTCTTTAGCAATTAGAACAATAAAACACTTAGGAAATAGAACAATCCTATTTTTCACCAATGCTTTCCCATTAAAGTGCAATTTCAGACCCTGAATTTTGGGAATGGACAAAAGATAAGCACGGTTTGAATTTAGATTTATCAAGCAACTRGGAGCCAAAAGGCACAAGAAAAAGGGTTTCTTGAGCCAGCCTAGAGCAGAATGTGCCAYCCCTCACATCCTGCCAGGGACAGTGACTGCCCCTTCTCTCCCACAGTGTGCACTTGTGTCCATGGGAAATGCAGCAGTGGCATCGACGGGGACGGCTCCTGTGAGTGTGACCCTGGCTGGAGAGGAGTGACCTGTGACACTGGTGAGTAGGACCTGTGACACTGGTGAGTGGTGACCTGTGACACTGGTGAGTGGTGACCTGTGACACTGGTGAGTGGTGACCTGTGACACTGGAGTGACCTGTTACACTGGTGAGTGAGTGCCCTGGCTTTTTTGTTTTCCTGGGGTGACAAGTCAGCATTTTATAAAATGACAGAACTGCAGCCAGATCCCAGCACAGTTTCCCACGTGCAGTGAAATATTGGTCACATTCCTTCATTGTGGCAATTAATGAATGTCTCATTAGACAGCCACGAGCTGAGGTACTGCTTGTGATACTGAAACACCCTACTTGGCTGATTCTCACTCTCTATCTGTCCCAAAATATCCCATTTATTAAACCTAGATGTTTTCCAAAGCAGGATTATCCAGCACRTTTTGACCCTCGGATCAAAAGCCTCTCAAGTGCTTCAATAAGTTGATTTAGCTTTACAACAGCAGATATTAAATTATGTTCTTGCTAATGAGATACAAAATAATTAACAAATAAATCATTTTGTGCTGGCTTAATACAGCTCCTATATCCAATCAAATTATATTCTATTTAGACATAATTATAATGTATTCAGCCACTATTTGAAAACTCTACCTATAACAGTAAAAAATTTAAAAATGTTGCAAACGCATTAATAATAGTATTCACGATCAGTTTTAATTTTCTCAGGGAAAAAAAATATTGGTAAGTAGAATTTTATTTCAGTTGTAACATCTGAGAAAAATTTCAGTTCCTTTAGAAAATCTACGCTTACATAATTTAGACTAATAATATTATAGATTCACCAGACTAAACACAGATAAATGACAACAGGTGAAAGGTTTTCCTGACAATATGATGCAATTCTTCCTTGAAAATGAATTGAAGTGGAATCCACTGATCTGAACAGATGAGGTCTCCACACAGAGGGTTTCTCTGTAGAGATGGACTGAAAGCACAATTATCTGGCACAGAGCTCAGGCTCCCCATGGTGGGAACWGGGGACTCTGAACCCCACAAGGATGTTGACCCAAAATTTTGATCCCTGCTTCTGTTTTTTTTTTTCTACTGCAGAAATCAAAGATGATGCATGTAATACCTCGTGCCACACCAGCGCCAAGTATGTATGAAATGCACTTTAGGGGAGAGGGGGGGAAAAAGGGAACCTCTTGGAGAGTCCATCCTGCTCCTGGCCTCTCAGCAGAAYATCTCACAGAGATAAGGGACAATGTAAATCTAAAATATATGGTGATGAGGCCAAAAAATTCAAAGCTCTCCTCTTCACGTCCAAATATGCAAACCACAACAAAAAAATAAAATGCTATCACCAGTCCAGCACCAATATTGGGACACTAACTCATTTCCAAAGAGCAAGTGACCCCCACTGACGGTCATCTGCCCCCTGCTCAGTGACCAGACAGCAAGATTTACACTGCCCAATASATTTTTTTAAAAAATCAAGGAAAGTTGGTTAAAAAGATGACTGATCTTCAGCAGCAGCTCTTCTGTAGGATCTGAGAAACCAGAGGGACAAACCCCCTTTTTCCCAGATGTGGGTCATTCTCTCCCCACCG